GAACTAGGACAACGCTCTAATGTGAGCTCTCTTCTTGTAAGCATTGCATAGAAAGGGCTTTGTCTCTGAAAATAATTATCTTCTCATGTTCAAATGAGGTGAGGGGACAAGGCAAAACTTCCCTTCTTCATCACCATTCATTGGGTGCTGGTTTGTGCTTGGTTCCATGAAGCGAACTCTTGGTGTAACAGACAAAACCTTCGACCCTTAGAACTTCCAAGTCCACCTTCATCCCACAAAATATGCTGGCGCTTTTGTGATAAAACAAAATAAAAACCATGGTATGTTTTTATTAAGTAGGCTTGTAATTTCTCTTTCTGGAGAGTATTTTAGTGGAAGGAATAATGTCACTAATACTAAAACCATTACTTTTTAAAAAAACCCCTTTGATCCTTTAATCTTATCCTCTTGGCTACCTCACCTTGCTCTCTGTCTGCTCACACCTCTTTGTCTTGTGTTACTTCCTTCCCATCCTTTATCCTCGGAAACCCAATCGGCTCCTGGGTATTAACAGAAGGAAGTGGCTACTGGTTCTAGGCTTGCCTCCTTTCTACTCAGCCCTGCGAGTCCCACTGACTCCTCGTCACCCATTCCTCTTGCTTACTGTCTTTTTTGACAATTATCCGCATTACCCTACTATGAAGAGTCTGGGTGAACTAACTGGCATTTCGCAGGGTCCACGGGTGGGGTCTGTGGTCCTGAAATGGGATCACAATAGGCAGCCTGGGCAGATCATGTTCCAGGCAGGAATTACACATTCCCCTTAGATTTTAGAATATAGTCTGAGGTGAATATTAGCTATTGGAGAATAGAGATAGTACTAAAGATATGTCTCATTCTCCTTCCATTTTCTATTTACCAAACTATTATTTTGTGTGATTGTGCATACTCCCCAGTTAGCTTTGGCAGTGTAGACTTGGAAAAAACCCCAACATGTTTTAAATCATTCTCTGATGAATGGGATACGTCATTTCCTTTGATCATTTCGTGCTTCGCTAATGATATGCTTGAACATCATTAACCACTATGCAAATGAAGCAAAGATTTTTTAAAAAAATAGATCAATTTCTTAACTATTAATACAAGGTGTGAGGGTATGGGAGGGTTAAGTTTTGAGTTTCCATCAAATCACTGTAATCTGACCCTAGTCTTGAAATGACTATAACGTGAAACGTTTGTTGGTGAAATACAACTCGCTGTGAATTGTGATTACATTTCCGATTCCTTTCCAGAAAACAGAAAGGAAATTAAGTTATGTTTGATTACATTACAAAAAATCCAATTGGTGTCTGGGCAATCATGACCAGTCAGAAGCCAAATGTGCACATTGCACAGGGGCCGGCCCCAGGCCATGAGGCTCTAGTGCATGGACTTGCCCTCTTATTCTTCAGCTGAGCAATTTGTAAGCATCACGAGAGAGTTAAAAGCACATGAAGGTACCTATCTGTTTTCATAACGAACAAAGCAAAAATGTCTTTTGTTTATGCAGAATAAATGGAAAATTACATCTCTTGAAACACGAGTCCAATCTGTTTCTTCCTCACCGCAGTGCTACCAATTTCAATATATCAAGTTTCTTAAACTTTCCTCAATGAAGCCAAGTCCATAGGAGTGGAGCAAAGTATACCAGTGACCTGTGTCAGTAGTCCTCAAGCGGTTTTGGTTTGTTAGGCCACTTTGTTAGTAGCACAGAACACTAAAAAACATTGGTTTCTCAAATACATTGGCCACACAAATCACCCGAGAATATCGTTAAAGCAAAGCTGCTAACTAAGTGAGACAGAGATGAGGCCCAAGGTTCTGCATATCTTAGGAGGTGCCGCTGCTGCTGGACCACATTTGAATACCAGGGTCAGGCAGCAGGTGGCCTCTGAACATTACCTGCCCAGGTTGTCAGTAGAATTAATAGGCAGAGGTGAGCTGTTTCAGGTAAGTACAAACAAGGCAGCCCTGACTTTTACGTCATTGTCCACGTACATTTGTAATTCACACTGGAATGCAAAGTATGGATTTTGTTATTATTTCATGTTTAAAAAGAGTTCCGGAGAATATCTACATATCATCTGAAAGAACGCTGCAGGACACTCGTTCTCCCAGTCTTCACTTAAGAAGCTCTTCACTACATAATGAAACCAGTTAGAAAACCCTAACATTTGGATTAAATCGTTTTGGGGTGCAGCCTGGATGATTCTTCTGGGCAGCCAGGGCTGAGGAGCCCCCCTACAAGTTACAGAGCCAGGCAAGTATTCAGGGTGCTGTCGCCATGGCCCCGTGCTCCTTGGAGAGTGCATGTATAAGAAAAAGAAAATAAAAATATCAAGAAAGATAGGGTGCATTCAAGAGAGAGAACAAAAGAGGAACCATTGGGTAAAGGGTGAAGGTCTAAGGGTGACAGCAGGCCTTTCAGGAACTGCACGGAGGTCTCCCCGGTGTTGGCAGCCCGGATGAGGCTGCTCTCGCCCTGTTACTCATCCTGACGCAGACGTCGCACGGAGGCTCAGGTGTGGCACGACAAATGAATGCAGAATGGATACTGAATGCATGTTTGGAATGACCATTAGACTCAAAACCAATGCTTAAAGCAAGCAGGAGAAATACTATTGAATACCTTGATTCTGGGGCAATAGTAAAATTTTAAAGGGGCTCACTGTTGCCCAAACTTGCAAACCCGGTAGGGGGCTCCTTCGGTCGGTACAATTCGGCATCTGTGTACTTGGCGGTTAAGTCTTTGCTTTTTTTTTGGGTCAAGTCTTAACTCTTGTATCAAAGCAGCACAAAGAAATGTAAGTGAGAAAAAGTGGCATGGCCGCGCAAATGGCCAACATTTAGCACCTCACAAGGGTCTGTCTGCGCCAGGCGAAGGGACCCCAGACGAGCATGACATAACCAGCCGATACAGTCCAGTGAGTACCAGGGCCGAGTGTCTATCCAGATGCCTCTGTTGGATGCGATCAGCGTCGTACTAGAAAGTTAACCCCTGGCTTTTTTTTTTCTTTTTTACAGGGAACACATACTTATAAAGTTTCAAAGGCAATTGTTTTTGCGAACCAGAAACCAAATGCAAGAGACACCTGGTGAATAGTAAATATCTAGACAGTAAGAAACTAAATCTGAACACCTTTATCAGAGAGGCACCACCCAGTTCGAGTGAACAAAAGATTCATGGTTTTCTCTTTCTCAAAGAGTTCACTTCTGTGTGTGTTCTGGTTGTGATCTTCTTTCAGCTGATAGTGGCTTTTGGTTACACACTCTTATCCTTCTATCTTCTGCCTGCCTCACAGCTGTTTAAAGTTCCTATTGGCCACCACCATTATCTCGCTTTCAATCCAGCCACGGGACCCCGTGCCCTTACACAGACAACCCACCGGAGAGCGGCTTGCTTCTCTGACTGCTTCTTCCCTTCAGGAAAAGGCTTGTGCAACAAAGGAGGAGCGATACTGTTATGTCATTAAGGAGCTCCTGAAAACGCCGCAGACCTGTCCCAGGCCACAAAGGCGCCCTTGTGGGCTTGTTTATCTATAGGATGGTGAAAACCTAGGAAGTCACTTTGTTTGACTGCAGTGAAAAGCTTGAAATAGTCTCAAGCCCAGATTTGCTTTCATTAAAAAAAAAAAGATCAAAGGAGGAAAGTATCATCTCCAAATCTTACGTTCCTCCTTTCGTGTCACCTCAACAAAAGGCATTAAGCACAGTGCGGGCAATGATTAACTGGTGGTCTTTTTACAGTGATTTTCAACTAGAATCTGCAATATTTATTTGCCTTTCTTATGCATTTATCTCCCTCATCATTGTAGACCAGAAGCCATATTTTGTTTGACAGAGGGGGACCTCCAGTGTGAGTCAGATGAGAACATATATCACATAGGTGTATACTGGAGATCATGCAATATATTGTAAACACTTACGCATGCTGATGAGGTAAAGATTTACCGACCAAATAAGTACTCGTGGCATAGTCTTGGCAACTAATTACTGTCAACAACTGCTTACAATCCAAGTTCCCACACATCTGATAGCTAATTTTTATTTATTCAGAGATTTTAAATCAGTGAAGGGTGGAAACTCCTGATGGAAAAGTTGTGGATGCACAGTAGGAAACACCACTGTTATGTATGTTTGTGTTTATGTGTCTGTGTGTGGTGTGTGTGTTTGTGCCTGTCTGTATGATGTGTGAATCTGAGGTGTGTGTGTGGGATTGCTTGTGTCTGTGTGTGGTGATGGGGAAGCTCTTGGTTTGTAGACCTGTGCAGTAAGACTTTAAAATAGACTACCAGAGCTTAGCTTATTGATTTGAGAACCCTTGATGTACATACAAAACTTTAAAAAATTAATTCTTTATTTGACTCAGCAAATTTCATTACAAGGCAGCTCAGCTCATCTAAAAACAGAATAAATTGAAGATGCCAAGGTGTCTGGATTGTGACACCCATTTTTCCAGATAAAAGGAGAAAATAGCCCTGCTGGTGTGGCTCAGTGGTTGAGTGTTGACCTATGAACCAAGAAGTCACCCTTTGGTTCCTGGTCAGGGCACATGTCTGGGTTGCAGCTCGATCCCCAGTAGGGGCGTGCAGGAAGCAGCAGATCAATGACTCTCTCATCATTGACATTTCTATCTCTCTCTCCCTCTCCCTTTCTCTCTGAAATCAATAAAAATATATGTAAAAAAAAAAAAGGGAGAAAGTAACATTCCTGATTCAAAATCAGAAATTTCAAATTACAAGTATATGTTTTGTCCTGAGATACCAGTGTATAAAAGAGGCTTTGGCTGGCGGTGTTATGATTAAGCCTCTGCCCTGAAACCCCTAAATCCAACACGAGTCCCTCCCACACATATTGTTTAATGAGGAAGCAAAGAACTGCTGCTCTAATGGAAACTCTCTTTCCCAATGTATTTAGGTAGGACCTCCAACCAAGGACTTTACTGAAGTGGTCACCTGGACATTTCAATGCTCCTTCCCAAATTGATCCTGAGGACATTTTGCAATTTCAACGATACTTACAGAGATTGAAGGCTCCGCAAATTCTGCAGCGCTTCTGTGGGTACCTGCCTTAGATGGTTATTCTGCAGCATACTGCACATTAAAACAAATAAAGAAAAAGATTAAAGAAAGTCAACAATATTTAACCATAACTGGCCATAGCTGTGTCAGGCACTGTTCTAGATGTCAGGGAAACAGCAGAACATCAGACAAACCCTTGGCCCCTGGGGAGCTGAAACTCCAGTGGGAAGTGACAGGTAATTAAAAGTAATGAATTTCACCCTATGAGCCAAGTGATAAGTACTACGGATATAATACAAAACATAGATTTGGGATAGATAGTAACAAAGAGTGAGATTTTTATTTTAAAGGAATGGAAGGTCTCTCTTAGGAGCTGATATTTGAGTAGAGACCAGAATGGAGTCAGGGAGCAGATCATGTGAATATCTGGGAGGAGCTACTGAGGAACTGGGAAGAGCAAGTGCAAAGGTCCTGAGGTTGGAGCTTGCTTGACTTGCTAAAGGAGCAGCAAAGGATCAATTGTGACTGAGGAAGAATGAGTGAGAGGAAGAGATTGGGTGAGAGAACCTGAGGCCATCTCATGGAGCACTTTCAGGCCATAGTAAAGCTTTATTTTAAATGTGATGAGAAATTCTCGTTGAAGTGTTTAAGTGGGAAATGATGTGATCGTACTTGTTTTTAAAGGATCACTGTGGTGACTATATAGATTAGACAAAATGAAAATAGGAGTCTATTAAAGATCTCTTTTCTTGCTTATGGTCATATTTTGATATAAATTACATTCTTTTTGTGAAGTAGTTGCATTTTTGCTCACCTAGGTTCAACAATTCTTTTCAGAACATAGGGACTACAGAATGGAAACAATGAGATAAAAACATACTATTGCAAATGGGAAAATAGCATGGAAAAATTCCCATTAGATTCCTTATATTTGCTACCTTATTCATAAAATAACACAATAATTTTGCAGCCACTCCCATCCCTCTGAGTATTGCATGGTCCATGTAAGCCAGAGGCAGAAGTCTGTTTTAGGAGAGTAGACATTTTACAGAAAATTTTCTGCTTATTAGGTAACAAACTTATATTTGGATTTCAGAAACAATTTGCCTGGTTCTCTCATCACCACAATTGAAGTTTCTTTTCATTAGATGACTAACTGGGATTCAGCTCCCTGTATGTCTAACGCTTGAGGGATATTTGCTGAATGTACAAATTCTCAAGTTGAATGGTGTCTGGTATGATTAAGGTGTGGTGAGGAGCATGGGTTCTTGAATTTGAATACCTCTTCCCTGCCACTAGCAGTGTGGTCTGAGCCAAATCACCCAATCTCTCCAAGTCTCAGTGACCAGTAATTATACTCCCCCGCAAGGTCATTGTGACCATCCAATGAGTTGAAGTACATAGAACAATACCTGCCGCATAGTAAGCATTCAATAAAAGTTGGCTCTTTTGTATGAATTGATGAACCCCTTCTCAAAACTAACAATACAGTGAGATGGTACTGACTGCGACATTTTAATTGAGAAAACAAAATCAGCAGCAACAATAGCTACAACAACAAAACCTGTGCCAGAGGTTGGTTCTCAAACTTTAGGGTT